TAAAAACGGTAGGTCACTGAATTAGTTTGTCCGATAATTTTACACTAACTGAAATTTAGAGGACCATTTTGTGGATCTGATGCATTGCCATGGTAACTGATATGATGTCACAAGTACCCTTAAATTATAGCCCAAAATAGTTGCAAAATACTTATAGTTTGGCGACATACACTGTATAATCAAACACTACAGCAACGAAAAACCCTTTTGAGCCTCCTTAAGGAAAGATATGACGGAACTTGAACAAAAAAAGTAAAATTGAATGTTTTTTAATTACCCCGTAGAATTAGAATTGAATTTACTTAGCTCAAAAGTTAAGTTATTAATGAAATGGAACTGAATGTTTGATTTCTTTTGTTTGGTATGGATGGATTAAAAAGATCAATTTAATAATTTAATACATTTATTTCACTGGTTTACTTTTTTTCCTTTTAGGTCCTTGACCGGCATCCCTGCCCCTTTCATATGTGAGACCCCCCTCCCCCTCCCCATCCCCCTCCGGCTTGCACTCCTAATACTGACATTCAGAGGAGCTGCCAGCAGTGCAAAAGCTTACAGACTGCTAAAATGCTCAGTTCTTTTTGCTTTTTGTCCAGTGTAAGAAATTTGTCAGAACAAAACAGATAAAAAAGTCTAAAATATACTTTTCCTGCAACTAATAAATAATTAACCAGTTTTAAATACTGAATTTTATTTATCAATTTAAAGTTGTCTTTTTATAAATCGTACAAGTCTGATGTTCCTAAATCATATATATGTCCATATTGCCGCATTCGACAGCGATTCTTCACGCAGAATGAAACAATGCCATAACTCATAAACATAAAAACCACAAAGGATATAAAACAGAACACTATTAACACAGTGAAATCCTGTTTTTGCTCTGGAGAAAATTTTAACATTACTGTTCAACAGTTTTTAAAGAGCCTTTATTTGGTGCAGGTTCTATACCAAGTATGTGACACATAAGGGGATATATATATATATATATATATATATATATTGACATTTTCAAATGGCTCAGAGATATAGTTCTCCTTGAAAAGAGGTCCATGTGCAAGGAAAAAGGGATGCATGTCAGCATATTTGTTACTATAGCCATGGTTACCAAGAACATCCATCTGTGACATGTTTTGTGTGATGACCCATTGATCGTCAGCTGCGATAAAAATTGGCATCACACGTTGATTATGCTTGTAATGAAATAGGAATATCGTGTTTCAGATATGCATGAAGGTGTGGAATTTCTTTGAGCTTTTGGTATGTTTTGTTTAACATCCCCTCCTTGGGTAGAATATGAAAGAAAGGCTCAAATACATGCTCTGCTCTATTGGGATTTAGAATAAGAGAATACCAAGTTGGATTGAGGTACATATTCATCCTGAACAATAACTCGAGAACTGTTCACTGCAGCCATGCCTTGATCACTTGTGATGATCAAATTCACCTTCAAGACAAAAATGATTATTAGCACTTTGAAATCACTCTATCTACCATTTTAATGTAAAAGGGGCTATATCATGGTCATTTTTAGGGTGTCTAGATATAACGATGACCTAGAAAACGAAGAATTTTTCACCAGAAGTTGCCGATGTGATTCGCAGAATGGACAATGTAACCGGATATCTGCTGCAAACCCTGCGAAGTCGTGCTGTTGGACCAGGTATGGAAACATATTTTGAATTTTTTTTGTAAATATTGTCGTTAAACACTTTTGTGATAAGCTTACATCATACACAAAAAGGCGACCGTGAAACATGCTGAGAGGCTATTTGCATTGTTGATGAAGTGCCAGCCCAGCTACTTCAGCCCGATACTGCTCTTTAGAAACTGGACCGAAGTTTTTTTACATCATGATAGATTGGCCTGCTTTCCCTAAACACCTTGTAATGTCATTTTGTTCATTGTAATAATAATCCTTTAAATAAATAGTTCATAAATAAAGAGGGGTCCTATGCATAAAAATGAGGGTGTCTAGAAACGACAACCTAGAAAACGATGACCTAGAAAACGACGACCTATTTGCTGACACTTTCCTTGACAACATAATAAAGTACTGTAAAATTTTGCAAATAAGTCCCTCCAGATATAAGCCCCTCAAACTTTTAACGCAAAAACCCGTCTGTTAAATCGCCCCTCCAAATATAAGGCCCCCGGGGGCTTGTATTTGGAAATTGCCCTCAAATACAAAGCAAAACAAAGCAAAAACGAAAAATTTCCTTCCAATTGTACGGCTAGCCCAATCGATTTTGAAACCGGTCAGTATAAAACATGGACTGCGGACTGTTGACTACGGACTGCGGACTGGGAATAAAATACGGACTAGGTATAAAACGCGGACCGGAAAATATGTATTTATCGTTTTCAATTCTAAATGAATAAGAACGAAATTGAAATATACGAATTTGAAATGCATTTGAAAAATTTTTTTGTTTGCGCTCAAGAGAGAATGATCTACTGTTGCGCTCTAATCTATAATAAATTATATAATGATGACATAATTTCTGCCTAATCAGGCCTACTCGCCTGTTCCAGGCTTCGAGATAATTGGGTCCGCTGAGTGAAGAAAGCGCGAAAATAAAACGGGAGGAAACTGGGTAGTCTCCTCTTTATCTGAGAGCCTGGAACAGGCTAAATTAGGCCAGGTCTGGAAATGGGTATGAATTTTAGAGATCAGGTCTGAAAACGGGTGTGGAAAACCGGACATTTTTTATTCTTAAACAGGGTAAGGATTTAGAGAACCAGGGGGCATAACCCGACCAAAAAATCCCCAGGAGTACCCCCTTCCGGGGTTCAGGAACAGGGTGTAAATCATGTCATCATAATCATCGCGTAGAATATAACGTTGGGTTGGATGATTCATTTCGGATATTAATCACGTATAGATGAATAATCCCTCCCCCCTAAATACTGCTTTTTTACCTCGTGGAATGCCCCTATATTGACCTTCTCGTCTGAGTTCTTCATTTCCTCATATTCCCAATGCTTTATTTGAAACGGAATAGAGGCATCTTTAAGAATTTTACTCTGACTCGGCTAACACCAATACTATTCTTTTTATTCGGTGCTTCTCCGATTGGTTCTCTTCTAACTCCTTATTTTGATAAAATTCAGAGTTTAATTTCAGTTGCCTTGAATAGCGGCATAAGGGACGGACCATTAGAAAAGTTGTAATGGGGGGGGAAGGGAGAGGAATTTTCGAGCCGCAGGAATTTTTTTTCGTTATCAAATTCCTTGTATGAATTTTTTTTAGGCCATAGCATGAATATTTTTTAGGGTTAATTGGCTTGCATGAATTTTTTTTCATTTAATTTTCCCTTGCGTGAATATTTTTTTTGTACTTCGCCCGCCCCCCGCCCCCATAAGTTTTCTAATGGTCCTTCCCTAACCTTCCTTGTCCGTGCAGCATGCTTTCCTTCTCAACATGAGGAGAATATAGACTGCGTGACCGGCTTACGGAATGTTTTTGTGTAAGGCAAGGAGCTGGAACTACCGTTTTATGCAAGCCCGCTTTCCTTTTCTCTCAGTTTTACATTTCTAAGGCTGTTTTTATATACATAGTACGCAGTCCGCGTTTTATACCTAGTCCGTGTTTTATACTCAGTCCGTAGTCTGCATTTTATACCTAGTCCATGTTTTATACCCGGTCCACAGTCCGAGGTCCGCAGTCCGCAGTCCGTGTTTTATACTGACCGATTTTGAAACCCAAATTTCCCTCCATAGATAAGCCTCTCAAAAAGGGCCTTTCAAAAATATAACTCCCGGGGCTTATTTTCAGAATTTTACAGTAATTCCTTTTAAATGTTTTTGGTCCTCTCAACCGTTAGTTGTGGAGAGCTGTTCTCCCCTTTCCTGCTGTAACAGATTCCATCTTGCAGGAGTACTAAAGCAATGTTCTTGATTACCCTGATTCCAGAGTCAGTTATAAGTAGATTCCCCTCCATGTCCTTCAGCCGCTCTGCCTGGCCTGTAACCTATTTACTTGCATGTTTATTTTAGCATTATATGGCAAAGAAAGTCTTCAAGAGATGCACAGTGCATGGATTGATGGTTAGCTTGCCCCACCCTAGTGGTGCACGGCCAGAAAGATCCCTTGGTTCCAGATTTTCATCCTGAGTTTTTACATGCTAATATCAGAGGATCCAAGCTTCATCTAATGCCAGAAGGAAGGCATAATATCCACCTTCGCTATGCTGATGAATTCAACTCACTTGTCAGGAACTTTTTGACAGGAAAATTAGACTAATTAATGAACACAGAGGTTTGACTTTTTTTTACCGGCATTTTTCTAAACAAACACTGCACACAGTTACTTGTAAAGCCTGTTAAAACTTCTGCATCAGTCAAAGCAAAACGAACAGTGTTTTCCTATAATGTAATAACGTTCCTATAACTTTGCATCGAGATTAACATGTGTTTGTCAAAACAGAGAAGCTTGTTTCAGTAGTATGGTATTAGCAACATGAAATTACCAAAATTGATCCAAAGAGCTAACCTTCCTCTAGGGAGAGCTGCGATTACCGCGAACTGATCACAGTTTAGATCACGTGACATCGTAACATGTTTTTGTTCATAGCTTATCATTGGTGTCTGCAAGTATTGTCATTCAAGTCTTTGAAAGCGTTTGCGTTGCTTTGGCAATTTTTTTGTAATCCCTATCACGTTATAAGGAATATACTGCTACCTGTGAACTAGTACCAAGTGCAAAAGATTCCTCCGCAAGCATTAAGTTGAGCCGCGAGACTGAAATTGCGCGCACTCTCGAATGAGACATTGCGCTTCTCGCAATTTCGACTTTAAACAGAGAGTTTTTCCGCCTGCACGAAAACCATACAGGATAGGACTTCTGTTCACACATGAGAACGGTCATTTTGGCGCGATGTTTGTAACGGAGCGAAGCTACACCGCGCCGATCTCTAAAGTTGAGCGTCACTTATCGAATAGATGTTCATACTATACCGAATAGCTTTTCTTGTCCACACGAAAGGCTGTCCTTTTATCTAAGTTTCTTGAATTACATCAAGTCTTAAAACACTCGCATGAGCCTTGGGTGTTGCACACTGCGCAGAATTATCACAGTTGTTTCTTAAATTCACACGTGACTCATGTTGCCAGGTAACGTGAATCAGACCACTGTTATATGTGTTTGAAACACTGGGTGTATAGTTAAGCGGATATACTCTCGTTCGAGGCTTGAAGCTGCAAATCCATCCACGAATTCTCGACACGATATCTTTAAAGGCGTCCGCATATCCTGCTCTGTATCGCCGGCTTACTAATATACAGGTGACTGGATGCACAAATGGATCAACGGTTGACAAACCAAACGCGAACAAGTCGAAGTATATACTGCGCCAATTTGCGTGATAACTGAGCATCACTCGAGCCTGGCGAAAGGAGAGAGATGTTGTCAATCATGTGATGTTATAGTCTCCCTCGCAGCCGTTTTTTAGATGTCACGCAACGCTCCGTGACATCCAAAAACCGCCTGCGAGGGAGACTAGTGATGTTAGTGAGCTTAATCAACTCAACGGCGACGACGGCATCGACAACAACGGCAAAAAACAATAGGTTTAGATAATCAAAACAACAACTCCGCATGTTTTTCTAATAATAATCTTTTTTTCGAATCTTAGATACAGTCCTTTAGAATTCAACTCCAGAAAAATTCACCAACATTTGAATGACGTGGAATAAGAGCAGTTATTTTAGAAACATTGTGAATTCATTTTCGAAGTGACGTTTTCACTATTGTCGTCGTTGCTTAGCTCCCTTGTAAAAGACAAGGGAAAGTGTACCACATCTCTCTGGGGCCTACCCACATTTACCCAGACTTCAGTGATACAAAGATAAAAATGATATGACTTTTTGTTGCGGCGAGTCTAAGTTTCAACTTGGTTTGAGAAGGTCTTTAAGGAAATGCTGGTCATTTTAGGGAGTTCCTTTCCTTGTTTGCCTGTGCATTAAATAACTCTGGATCCAAACAATAGTTTTAATTTAATATTCAGTAGATCGATATACACCGTCACACCCAATCCGGCTTGACTGAGGCTTTGTTAGTGTCAGACTATATCGGATAGTTTTTCATGCCGACACGCCAATCTATCCGGTATAGTATAAACAGCAACGGCATAAAACTGGAAAAAGTCGTTCACGCACATCAAACTTTATGCCTGAGCGGTTGTCCGAGAGGGCTTGGTGTGTGATCATAGCCTCCACCCAGATTTTCCCGGCCTGCTTTCAATCTTCTTTTAAAGATTAACTCATATAAAGCGTTTTTCCTTACCAAAGTTGGAACCCAAGCCAGGCTATAGGATAGAGCCATAATTCCGGTTAGGTTAGAGAGTATTATGGCCTCGCGATCACCTGCACTCTGTGTAAGAACCCCAGTTCCAACGGACAAATTCATTCTCTTCAAAGCTTTAAGCACTGAAACGTTCATTACAAGCATAAGTAGAATGGACAGCGAGAAGTTGCAAATGAAGGCATGTACAACGATTACTTCGCCATTGCTCGTGGAGTTAAGCGAGTACAAGCACACTGCTATGGGATGTTTTGTCAGTTCGATGCTCTTTAACAAGAGAGGCAGGATAGCTAGTGCTGCAGAATGTACAAAAATATACCCAACCGCTATCCTAACTTTTCGAAGGTTTATAAGTTGTTGATAGTAAAACGGCACGCACATGGCTATAAATCGTTCGGCAGACATGACGAGTGTTACCATGACCATCATGGTACCGAAGAACAGCAAACAAAAAGTGGCCAATGAACAGCCGAGATTTTCCGCCGGCCACTCACCGCTGTCCAGGTGTAGCCGGTAAGAGCGAGAAAAATTCCCATGACCGCTTGCAGACCCATAAGGAAGTTATTGTATTGCTTTCGAGAGAATGTTGATTTCTTGTAAATGAGAAGGTAGTAAGCTGCGACCAGGTTAACTAGGGCAGTTACAAGTGTATTCAGGATTGTACCGACTCCTAAAAAAAGATTTTGCTTCACTTCGTAGGATGCCATGAATCGCAAATCGGCTACGTTGGATTAAGAGGGTGATCTATGTTCTGTTTGTCAATCATAAAAGTGAAGTATAGTCGTTGTAAAGTAGACCGTCGTTCGATGTGAAGTTCTTTGTTTTGGACGGCTAATCCCTGTAATGAATAAATTGAAATGTTAGTGATTTCAAAACTGAAAATTATTAAAATGATCAATTCATCAACTAAATCACATCGGTATGTGGTACACCGGACTTACAGCCACTTTATGTCGAGGGATTGTCAGGTCACGTGTTACCAAATGGAAAGTATTTTATACAACACTTGTTTCCTGCATGATGGGCGTTATTTGACGTTTAATGAAAATAAAAGCTTCCAAAGGCTTGGCTCCTACTATGATTTCAGTGATTTTCATAGACCTACTGCTACCTTGCGTTGTAAAAAACATCAAGGGCTTAAAAAATAATTTTCATTACCCTTTTGCTTGTCATAAAAGTAACTTTGCTTAAAAAGCTGTTCATTATCCCTGTGCGCAAAGACATCGAGAGATCATAATAAACTGAGTGTTCAGCGAAAAAAATATATCTCTTAAAATTTTTAATCCTCCGTATTAAGAGAGGAGCCTCGTAATAATCATCATTTCTATTTAAAATCAAAAGTATACACATTCAATTACAGAGGCTTTAGACTGCGGACGGGCTGAGTTGCTCAAAGCATGGTTAGCTTTAACCATTGGTTAAACAGTATCAAAACCAATACGTTGTCAAGGTATTAAACGCTGGTTAACGCTAACCATGCTTCGAGCAACTGGGCCCAGAAAGCTAAGAATCGAAAAACAAAAAACAAATGAGAGCAATCACAAAATTATATCTCGCGAAATACAAAGCTCGGACAAAGCACTGGCGATCTGCAAAATCAGTTTTAAAAAAAACCGCAAAAGAATTAGGCGTCGCACGTTTAATACGTTGCAAAAAGAGTTTTTTCTTTCTTTTTTTTTTTGGAAAACAGCATTTTTTACCAGAATAATTTGACTAAACCAGCAAAAACTTTATCCTTCAAAATGGACGTAAGCTTACATTGTACTTTGTTTTTGGTTTCAATGTCTAATGTCTACTTGCACGTGGCCTCTTCAATATTATAATTTATTTGACATATTTTATGATCTAAACTGCTTTCAAATACTTCAATGAAAGAAAGGAAATCAGTCTGAAGCGAATTAAAGATTTTTGAAAAGGTACACGCAAATATTCTTGACGTGAACAACGATTGCCTTTCATTTTTTGACGTCACAGTTTCCGCGTATTCCATTACTATCACTAGAGATAATGGACACAAGACATTAATGTATATGGGGCTGTTCTAATGTAAAAGTAAGTTGTTGTGACGCGATTTATTTAGTTATACTTTGGCCTCAATTCGCAGCTGCAGTCGGAAGTTTGAATGATTTTACCAACAATAAATCAGTACCTCTCTTGTACATTACTTCCAATGACGGCAGTAAAATCAATATTCACTTCCTTTAAGATTAAATTTTTTGGCTGTTCCTGAATAATCTTTTTGCTGAAGCCGTGTTTTTGGAAGTTCAGTTTCCAAATAAGAGCCTCTGTATGGGTATTTCCGACGAAATCGAAGTCGCGACGACCGTGACGATCTTAGAGGTTAAAGCGAATTAAGATCGAATTGCCATTTCAATCAAGTTTCACGCTGAACGTCAGTCGGAAAATAACAGCGAAGAAACCTGCCAAAAAGTGTGCTGCACGTTTAGAGTTTTTGTTTTTGCTTCTTTTCTCGTTTTCGTCGTCATTCTACTTGCACTGAGCTCGCTGGTAACGTTACCACCAAGTTACCGCTTTTTACCACGTAAAACAATNTCGAGCAACTGGGCCCAGAAAGCTAAGAATCGAAAAACAAAAAACAAATGAGAGCAATCACAAAATTATATCTCGCGAAATACAAAGCTCGGACAAAGCACTGGCGATCTGCAAAATCAGTTTTAAAAAAAACCGCAAAAGAATTAGGCGTCGCACGTTTAATACGTTGCAAAAAGAGTTTTTTCTTTCTTTTTTTTTTTGGAAAACAGCATTTTTTACCAGAATAATTTGACTAAACCAGCAAAAACTTTATCCTTCAAAATGGACGTAAGCTTACATTGTACTTTGTTTTTGGTTTCAATGTCTAATGTCTACTTGCACGTGGCCTCTTCAATATTATAATTTATTTGACATATTTTATGATCTAAACTGCTTTCAAATACTTCAATGAAAGAAAGGAAATCAGTCTGAAGCGAATTAAAGATTTTTGAAAAGGTACACGCAAATATTCTTGACGTGAACAACGATTGCCTTTCATTTTTTGACGTCACAGTTTCCGCGTATTCCATTACTATCACTAGAGATAATGGACACAAGACATTAATGTATATGGGGCTGTTCTAATGTAAAAGTAAGTTGTTGTGACGCGATTTATTTAGTTATACTTTGGCCTCAATTCGCAGCTGCAGTCGGAAGTTTGAATGATTTTACCAACAATAAATCAGTACCTCTCTTGTACATTACTTCCAATGACGGCAGTAAAATCAATATTCACTTCCTTTAAGATTAAATTTTTTGGCTGTTCCTGAATAATCTTTTTGCTGAAGCCGTGTTTTTGGAAGTTCAGTTTCCAAATAAGAGCCTCTGTATGGGTATTTCCGACGAAATCGAAGTCGCGACGACCGTGACGATCTTAGAGGTTAAAGCGAATTAAGATCGAATTGCCATTTCAATCAAGTTTCACGCTGAACGTCAGTCGGAAAATAACAGCGAAGAAACCTGCCAAAAAGTGTGCTGCACGTTTAGAGTTTTTGTTTTTGCTTCTTTTCTCGTTTTCGTCGTCATTCTACTTGCACTGAGCTCGCTGGTAACGTTACCACCAAGTTACCGCTTTTTACCACGTAAAACAATCATTGCTATGTAGTCTATGTGACGATTTCAGTCGCCTGAAAAACCGACGCTTTGATGGAAGATTCACGACAAAATCGACCTCTTCAGGTACCCACACAGAGAATGAAAATGTCTCAGAACGTCGCTTATTTATGCTATATAAGAAAATAAATCATTTGTATTTCGCGTTTTAGACGGATGATGTATTAAACGAGCATAAACATAACCTTTAGAAGTTTTTCGCCGTAAACGTGTATAAATATAGGTGTCCTATGAACAAGGCTTACAGGGTCTTACAGGCCAAAAATTCAAAATGTTTCACCATAGTATTTACATAGAGTATCATTAATATTTAGTTCTTACATTGGAGTAGTCTAATGCTCGTTCTTCTCCACTGCCGATGACTTGAAAGACAGGTTTAAACCTTGGCTTTAGCGGGCCTTTGATTAAAAAAAATGTTTTTGCTTCTTTGTATGACAACGATAGTGCAATTAGATAGTTCTGGATATCAGAATGCTAGACAAACTGCGGTCTGTTATTACATAATTCCTGTTCACAAAGAAACTTTAAAAATCTCCTTTAAACCCTTCTTTTCCGCATTAGGCGTTGTAAGTAAATGGTTCCACTCTGAATTTATCCATCACTATACGATCGATTGAACATATAAGTACACTAGTACTGCGTCATGTGGATGATCCTGGACAGTGCAATTCACCAGGACATTTGTTTTTGTCAAAAATACTAATCGTGGCAAGCAATTTTGTAATGAAAACCGGATACGTATTTTATTAACATCAAACTCATTGAACTGATCGGTAATGGGCCAAAGCTGCTCAACTGTTTTACATACTGATTGTCAAGCTGATTCACAAACTGAAGTACGTTATTTACATTATGAAAGCAGACGGTAATAGTTGTTCAATTTGTCTTGGTTGTGTTTTCAATTTTGCGATATCTCTTTGTCTATTTTATTTCAACCTTCAACGACTATCCATGTCAATAACACATTTTGCCTAAGTTGGGTCTGAAAATCAATCTTAAGTGGCTTGGCTCAGGTTTTTTAAAAATGTTGGAGCAAAAGGCACCTCTAGTCAAAGTAATACTAAAAAAATATAATTTTAAGGCCAAGAAAGAGCCAAAACAAAACAAAGCAGCAACTTCTATTTGCAACAATTAGGTAATATAATTGACAGGCCTGTTAATTCGCCCTGTTAATTGAAAAATGTTCAATATATATCGGTGTGANAATTCAAAATGTTTCACCATAGTATTTACATAGAGTATCATTAATATTTAGTTCTTACATTGGAGTAGTCTAATGCTCGTTCTTCTCCACTGCCGATGACTTGAAAGACAGGTTTAAACCTTGGCTTTAGCGGGCCTTTGATTAAAAAAAATGTTTTTGCTTCTTTGTATGACAACGATAGTGCAATTAGATAGTTCTGGATATCAGAATGCTAGACAAACTGCGGTCTGTTATTACATAATTCCTGTTCACAAAGAAACTTTAAAAATCTCCTTTAAACCCTTCTTTTCCGCATTAGGCGTTGTAAGTAAATGGTTCCACTCTGAATTTATCCATCACTATACGATCGATTGAACATATAAGTACACTAGTACTGCGTCATGTGGATGATCCTGGACAGTGCAATTCACCAGGACATTTGTTTTTGTCAAAAATACTAATCGTGGCAAGCAATTTTGTAATGAAAACCGGATACGTATTTTATTAACATCAAACTCATTGAACTGATCGGTAATGGGCCAAAGCTGCTCAACTGTTTTACATACTGATTGTCAAGCTGATTCACAAACTGAAGTACGTTATTTACATTATGAAAGCAGACGGTAATAGTTGTTCAATTTGTCTTGGTTGTGTTTTCAATTTTGCGATATCTCTTTGTCTATTTTATTTCAACCTTCAACGACTATCCATGTCAATAACACATTTTGCCTAAGTTGGGTCTGAAAATCAATCTTAAGTGGCTTGGCTCAGGTTTTTTAAAAATGTTGGAGCAAAAGGCACCTCTAGTCAAAGTAATACTAAAAAAATATAATTTTAAGGCCAAGAAAGAGCCAAAACAAAACAAAGCAGCAACTTCTA